CTTGTTAATTTGGTTTGATTGGTTTGAAGTGTCTGAAACCAAACCAAACCACCTAAACCAAATAGGCTAAAAAATTTAATCAAACCAAACCAGTTATCCAAATTAACCAAACCAAATTAGCTAAATACTACCGGTTAAACCAGTTACCACGGTAACCACACCGTTTGAACACCCCTAAGAACATGTACCAACAGATTTTTCTAGGTATCTAATACGTCACGTTATCCTATATATCCAGCGAAAGCCCAACTTAGTTAGCAAGCTTGGCGTGGTAAAGTAGACGTCTTCCACCTTGGGCCTGCATATAACAAGTCCAGTAAAGCGGACGTCTTCGGCCTGCAAATAAGCTGTTGTCTGGCATCCAGAACTTACTAATCGGAGTGTGTACCGACTTCCGATCATACGTTCCCTCTCTCTCTCTCTCTCTCTCTCTCTCTCTCTCTACTTGACTGGCGGAGCGATGGCGGGAAAGCCAAATGCAGCCGACATTCTAACGGCGGACTTCGCCGGGATGACCAAGAACCAGCTCTATGACATCTTGTCTCAGATGGCGAGTTATCTGTTTCTCTATCTTTTCTGAATCATCCATTGCCTTCTCCTTCAAACTGAGGGATTCATTCCTCGAGGCCTTCAGTTGAACTGCTGAACACTTTTTTATTGTTGGTTGTACTTGTACACACACCTTCAATGCAGACATCAATAGAGCAGAACAGACAGGAAGCAAGGGATATCCGCATCCAGAATCCTCTCCCTTTTCCAGGTCTTTGAGTTCTTCTCCCATGTCAAACTTAGCTTCGTGATTTAGTTATTCGATCTCCTTGTATCAAGAACTTAATTAAGAGGGATTGGGATGTTGTTTGTTGCCGTTAATACAAGGATTTAGCTTTGAATTGCGAATAATAGCTTGCCTTTCTTACTGCCAAATGATTAGGGTTTTGTTTGAATCCTCATCACTGCCTAGCTAGGATTTGTGTGTCTGTAGTAATGTTGTAAGGACTTTTGTAACTTGACTTCATTATTAGACCACACAGTATGAAGGACTTTTGTAATTGGACTTAAGCCCATGAAAATGGATAAATTTCATCAGTTTCTCCAAGCGTTTTGCACCAAATTCAGTAATATTTAATTATTTCGAGAATGGGTTAGAAGAATTGCAGAAAAGGACTTGGTGGAGGCGGGACAATTAATATGACCGTACCCATCATTTCAAGTTTTCAACCACCAAAATACTAAATTGGGCTAAAATTTTGGGTATGAAGTGACAATTAATATGCCCGTACCCATCATTTCAAGTTTTCAACCACCAAAATACTAAATTGGACTAAAATTTTGGGTATGAAGTTGTTGATCGAACTCTTTGATGGCTCGTGTTATGAAAGCATGGTATTTTCCTAAAACTGATATTCTCAAGGCTAAAGTGGGTTACAGACAGTGTTATCAGAACCGAACCGGACGTCAATCCGGATTAGCGAGAGGTTCAAGGTTTATCGGATAACCGATAATTAACCGATATTACAACCCGGTCATAAACCCGAAATGGCCTACTTGGTAGAGCTAGTAATGCAAAATCAAAATCAATCATAGTCCATTTTTTTCTCAATTTATGATAATATCTTAAAATCAAAATTGAAAAGGAAGGTGGGTGCTAGGGCAAGGGAATGGGAATGGGATTATTTCTTTCCTTTTCAATTTTATTCTATACAAACTTTCCTTTTTCGTTGGTTTAGCTATTTTTTGAATATTTTAATTGAAGAAAGCAAAAGCTAGCTGTCGATCTGTCTTTTCAGTTGCAAAAACAAAATTAAAATGGAAAAAAGCCGACCCACTGAATTGTTGCCGCTTTTATGCTTCCGGGACCGAATAAGTGTCCGGGTATGATTTTTTCGGGCTAACCGGGCGGTCCGGCCTAGTTTTTATAACACTGGTTACAGACCGAATTTTATTTGGAGGAGTATTATGGAGGCAAAGGAGAAAATTGAGGATGGTTTCAGATGGAGGGTTGGCAATGGGGAAGATATTCAGATACGGATCGATGTCTGGATCCTAGGAAAGGGTTTCCTTTTTGTTGATCCTTTTCCTATGGTGGAGGATCCCTCAAATGAAACCATTAGCACTCTTATTGATTGGGAAAGGGGTGGCTGGGATCTGAACAAAATTAACGAGCTCTTCACTGAGCAAGACAAGACCCTCATCCCTTAAATCCCTCTGAGCTATCCTTCAAAGAAGGACCTCCGGTCTGGAGTGACACTGAAAACGGTGTTTACATTGGGAAATCTGCCTACTCCAGGATCCGAGTAAGCAACCCTACCACTATGGCTCGTCATCACAATCGACCAAATGAAGATGCTGAGTTCTGGAAATTCCTATGGAAGATTCGTATCCAGCCTAAGGTGTGTACGTTCTTATGGAAAATTTGCAGAAACATCTTACCTGTGGGTTCCAATATTGAAGAATTTATCGATGATGCGTGCACCTACTGCCCCTTCTGCCCCTTTTGAGGATATTTGGAAGATGGCATCTAGAAACGAGTTTTTCTCTAGTATTCCGATCGTGTGGAGTTTTACACCGAGAAAGAGGAATGGACCAGCACACTGGTTAGTGGTTAGCCCACTCTGTTTCAGCCTTTCGGGCTGGGATCATCAAATTGTTTGGGTGGACAACCCCCTTTGTCTCTATTGGTTGTTTTGGAGAAGGATTTGGACCGTGGGCCTTTTGGCCATTTCTGAGCCTTTGAATGAATTTCATCCAGTTCCCTTCAAAAAAAAGTTGCTAATTTGATTTGGGTTAATTATTGAAGGAAACCAGACTTAATGCTAGCAATCGATTTGGTTCAGTTATAACCAGAAATATTTGATTGTTTTTGGTTATTTTGTCGGTTCTGATAACTGTTAAGCACGAGATTTGGCAAGGTTATACCAAAATAACTTATCAATAACCTAACAAACAGAGGATCTCCTTTTTTCTCAATGCATTTTTGTAGATTTTTTCCTACATACTTGCGTATGTGATCTTATTTTAAGTTGTCATCATTAAATAAAAAATCATTTAACATAGATATAAACCTATAATCAACTCAATCCAACACAAGTACACAATAACACAATTCTACCGTCAAATTTGATTAAACAATCATACAAGAATAAGACGCGCAACTACAATTACTCAACTCATAAACTCCACCAAATTACATGGAAGTTTAAATGCTACTAATTATTGACAAGCTATTGTCCGCAAGGCCAACTTTCTACTTTGTTCCTTCTAAAGCCCTTTCTTGAAATTAGTCTCCGATAAACCTAAGTCAGTATTACAACTAGGGTAGGCAATGGATCTTATAGGCTTTCAAGAATCCCTATTATTTTTGGCCTATGCAAGTATGCATGTGGTTCATCGAGATCTATTATTTTCTATCCTAACTATGAGGATGGTCGTAATGGAATAGCCGGTTAACTATTTATCCGTCAATTAGTAATTAGATAAATTTTACTATTGAGAACCGACCGTTTACTGTTTAATCGATTATCGGTGTTATCGTTAACCATCGATTTTGGTTCGGTTACCGGTTACACCGTCAACAAGATAACAATTTACTAGCCCTGGGCATGAAATCCCACTATTGCTCTCTTCTTTTTCCGTTGAATACCATCTTTCGATATGATCTAATTATTGTTTTAAGTTTTTTATCTAATTTTGAATGATGATAATTATCAAAAAAAAAAAATTTGAATGATGATAAGAATGCACTATCAAGAAAAATTTAATGTAAATACAAAATAGAACCGCTATTAATGTAATCGCAGCCTATCTCCCACTATCCACATCAAAACGTTGGTGTTTTTCTAGTATATTATATAAAGCTCTAAAATTTACTATAAGGTCTTTATTATTTGCATTAGACATAGTTTTTATATGGTCAATGATTTCTTACATAACAGTTTACAAATTTATATTTTTGTTAACTTGATCTTTTTATTAGATCGTACAGTAAGATGGTAGTTACATAATTACAAATAAGTTATATAAAACTTATGTAAGGGTAGTTATTTCTTATGTATCACTTAAACAATGACTAAAATGATTCGATATTTAAGTTTGAATTAAATTCGTTTATTATCATCTAAATTTTTAATAATCTCATTGATTTGGAATACACAAATATTCTTGAAGGTAAATCATTATTTTACATAACTAGTCACGAGATACTGTAAAGTTTAGTGAATGATAATTATCTTTTATATATCACTTAAACAAACGTATGGTCTATGTATTTCATAATGATTAAGACATTACATAAAACTTATGTAGCAATCCTACTCTAATAATTTTATGAATTATTTGATTTCATATAAATTATTAAATAAGTGGATGAACTTTTAAATATAATTTGTTTATTTTACCGTTGCGAAGCGCGGACCAAAAAACGAATTTTATTTTTACGGTGCATAATAGTTTCACTTTTTCAATATTGAGTTGGATTTTCACTAAAAAAATATTATCCACACGGCCCACCCAATCATAAATAAACCACTAGGTTAAAAGAAAATTGGTTGGTTTAAATTTAGTGTTTTCAAAAGGTTAAATTACACGTTTGATCACTCAAATTACAAAACTCTTTCACTTTTGCCATCCAAATTACTTTTCTTTCTTATTCGCCATTAACTTTACGAATTGTTTCACCGTTAGTCACCAGCCGTCAGTCTCCGTTAGATTCCGTTAACTCCGTCAGTTTTCTAATAACATAGCAAACGAAACTGCTGACCAGACCGTTACATTGATGACATGCCCATTTAAAAAATAAAAACAAAACTTAATTAACTCCCCATCCATCCTCATCCTCTCGCTCTACACCTCGCGAGCTTCTTCCGCCGTGGGCTTCGGCGAGTCAACGATCTCCTACACCAGCGAAAATAGAGCTCCGCCTCCCCACATAAATATCGCAATCCCAGAAAACCCCCAGAAACATTGCAATCCCCAAACTAATCATGTCGACGTTGGCTCGCTCGCTGCAACCTAGAAGCGTCGCGCAAAGAATCTTCATCGGCCGTAGATTGCAGAATCACTCCCTCTTCCGTCGCTCGTCGCTCCTTCTACGCCTCGTCAAACTCAAATCCCGGTCTTCCCCTCAATCCAATTCCCTCAACGATGTCTTCTCCAGTCATCCTCCCATTTCCAACTCATTGTCCCGGTAATTGAAATCCCTTCTAGTGAGGGTTGCAATTAGGGTTTTAGCCAAGAATTCGATTCGTGCAATCTAACCTAGATCCCGTCTCTCTGCTTGCTGCTTCATCTGCTCGCGAACATGGGCTCCATTTGGAGAACCTCTATTCTTTTTTGGGCTAACCTGTGCAAACATACAAGAAGCTCTTTACCACCTCCTCATTTTGCCACCCAACAACAGATCGAATATATGAATTTACAAACTTGATTTCTGGCTCTTTCTTTAATTGTGGATTCATTGTGATTTCATCTGCTACCCACTTCATTTCTAACTGATAGATGAAAGGTCACATATCTAAGTTTATGAGTGACTAGGCCTCCCCGAATTGTTAAGTTTCATCGGAGCCGGCGCCATTAGAGATGCAGCGAGCGGGGCTAGGGTTTGAGGGTCGAGGACGCCGTGGACGGCGAGGGAGCGGGCGTCGAGGGATAGTTGGCCGGAGCAATAAAAAAGTTATTAATTTTATTAAATAATTAATATTATAAATCATATAAATAAAGTAAGTGGAATGATGAGTTGGAAAAATATTTTTTTTTATTTTTTTTATTTCCACGTCATCTAGTTAACGGTCAAACGTTATAGTTGACTGCCACGTAGGACAAATTTAATGGAGTGTAGCGGCCGGTGACTAACGGTGAAATGATTCGTAAAGTTAGTGGCCAATAAGAAGGAAAAGTGATTTGGGTGGCAAACATGAAAGATTTGTATAATTTGAGTGACCAAACGTGTAGGTTAGCCGTTTTCAAAACAAAAGTGAATAGAGATGGTGGTTAAAAGGACTAAACTCGAATCATATATACTCTTATGGGGTTTGTCTTCAGTGCAGTTACTTTTTTGGATGCATTGAATCGTCATTTTGAGTAGGTGATATGTCAAAACGTTGTCAACTGTCACTTATGATACGATGACAAGAAAATGCATTAATTTGCACAAAAATCATTCAAGGTTTAGTTTGATTTGAATGATTTAGGGTTAGAGTTTACAATTTGGAGTTTAATATTGGGATTCAGATTGAAGTTCTAGGATTTAGAATAATGCATTGATTAGTTGTGATATTATGCTATAATATCATATTATACCAATGCTTCCAATTATAGTTCAAACTTTGATGTCTTATCTCTACTTTTAGAGTGCATCAAAACAAATGAGTGCTAGCTGATCTACGGATTTTGTACTTAGCTACTTGTATACCAAAGGCCAAAGCCAATATGGCCCGAGAATGTCAGAATGTTAAACCTACCAAATGATGGGTATTATCATAGGCTATTCATTTATCCTACCGTAATTAGTTTGGATTTTATTATCATAAAACATACCTGTATGGCTCAGGTGCTAAATTGTGTTAGTTGTTTAAGGGGGAAAAGATGTAACAGTGGATGCCTTGGGACAACCCTAACATAACACTATCGATGAACCTTACATTGAATTACATTTTACAATAGGAAACTGGAAATGAATGACATCACAGTATCAAATACATGAGCAGAACCCCTCAAAAAAGCTGCAAAATTTTGCTTATTCTCCGTATCTTGTTTTGTATGTACAACATATGCCATACAAATTTCCAAACAAACTAAACCCAGCAACTGAAGTGTCCGATGGCCATTTGCCTTAGCTATGTTACAAGCACCACCTTCTCCATCCTAGATTCTGTCTCGAGGTTAGAAGTCCGAACAATCAACTCCCTTCGCCACTCACAGGAACTTCACCAGAATCCATTGCTATGCCATAGCTGGAGCTTCATTTCCAGAATATGCTTCTCAGTAACTCTGTCCATGGAAGGCTTAGAATGTGTATATCAATCCTAACACGTGAAAACATACCATGTTACTGGAAGTGCACTATTTAGTTTTGGAACAAATAAATTTCAGTAGATGAGGGAATGGAAATATGCTCATTCAGGCAAACAGACACTCCCCAATTAATGCACGAACTAGATTCGAAAAGTTCAACACAAGCATGCCACAAAAGTGAATACCTGCATATGCAGATGAACATTGGGAAGGAGGACACATTCACTTGCTTAAGAGACAGATTTTGATGAGCTTGTTAAACATTATGTGTTAAAAGAATGTCACTATTATCAGAGTCCGAAGACTCAAAATCTTCATCTTCCCAATCAAGGTCCTCCTCTTCTTCCTCGTCATTATTGCTACCATCCTCATCAGATGCTATATATGAAGCATCATTCTCTCCCTGAATATCCACAGAAAATCTTGTTATAAAAGAGAATCCACAGCAATTTGAAACAGGTAATTTTTTTGCAAGTACTAAATACCAAATGCTCAAGCCTAGATCCAATCCTGTAATCAGACAGAGGTATACTAATTTCCAGAAATATGAGAAACTGCACTGCTTTGGGTAATCCACAAGTTAGTAAATCCTCTTTTTCTTTCCCCTCCCCACTTTATTATGTCATCTCAAGTCTCAACAAGATAGACACCCCTACGGTTAGAGTACTGGTGATTAAAACATCAACACAACAGGGAGAGAGATTATATATAAGAAAAAAGAACACAACAGGGAGGCCAGTGTCTCACTTCAGTGAAGTCTGAATTAGAATCTACCAATCGCGATGCACCTGAGCTCCAATCATCAGAACTATCATCCTCAGATAAACCCTGCAAGAGATTAAACAAAATGGTACAAGTCAGCTTAGTTTTTCTTTTTTGCTTTTAGCAGGAGAAGAAAATGTGATGTTTGCGATGGAAAAGGCCAGGAGAAGACAAGGGGTACTTACAATTTCGGCTTTCAATTGTTTTATTGTGTGCTCCAGTTCATATATGTGCTGACTGAGAGCCTGCATCATTTGGCACACTAGAATTATTTGCCAAGGTTCCTTAATATGACCAACAACAAGAAAAAGATTATGTTGAAGATAGAACCTCATGGCGTTGCATTGCTACAAAACGCTTCAATGCCTTTGCTTTTGTTAAAAGATTTCTTGGTCTCAAGCTAATGGGACGGCGGTAATTCTTCCCACGGTAGTAAATGAGAGCATAACCTTTTGGTACTCTTTCTATTGCCACCAGTATCCCACCACTCTCGTATTCCAGCAGTCTAGCTGTATCTTCAACAAATGCCATCGTCTTTTTGTTTGGTTATTAGCTTCACAACCTCTCTATACTTCCAATGCAAATGCATGTTTTCAATAACTCCATCAAAAACACCACGGATCCCTGCCACATTAATGTACAGAAATTATATGCTCTGCCATTTGAAGTTCACCAAATAAGCTTCTGAGTACGACTTACCCATAGGTAAGTATGGCTTCATTCTCAACCCAATTTTCCGGAACACAATCCTTTCCTCATCAGTGATCGCTTCTCTGTCATAATCTGGATCAGCGGGAACCATCGAGGCCTCTATCTTTGATAATAGTTTCTCTGCTCTAAGCTTCTTGCTGTTAGCCTGTACGGAAATTCATGGTTAAACAAAGTCATGCAAATGAACTGAACAGGTAAATAATAGGAAATCACATTAAACAAGAAGATTAACATGTTCTGCTTGGACCAGAAAGTATTATGTCTTGTGTTATCTGTCTTTCCTGTAAACAGGTATGACAAAAACTTTGCACCTCCTACTATATTTAACTTTCCTTGATTATAACAATCATGAGTAAAGTGTAGTTATCTCATGAGACAATGCAGAAGATGTCATATACTTACTTTAGCTAGCTTATGCTCGATTTTTCTGACGAGCCTAGCAGTTTTAGCTTTGGCAGCTTCTTCAACCATCTTTTCACGTTCTTCTGCAGATGTATCTCTTCCCCATCGTGCTTGTGCTTCATAAAACTCTGCCAAGGTCCCTGCAAGTGCATTTCCTTCACCTTCTATACCTGATGATGCTACCTCTAGGTTGCTTCTTAATTTCTCTTCGTTGTCTTGAATTTGTTTGGTTATTTCTTGCCTATCAGCTAATTGTGCAGCTACACTTGCAGGCAGGAAATCCTTCCCACGGAAAATGACAATATAATATTTGTTTCTGAGCAACAAGACACCTCCTGTTAATTGCTGCAAGGGTAGAGAAACCATCAATAATAATTCCATCATTAGTTGGTTAACCTGTACATATATCTTCTCCTTTCTTTTCTTGAGAACATCCATAACCAGCATGATATATGAATCTTGGGAATATTTGTGACAGAAACAAAATAGATTGTGGTAACCAATGTAAAACAGCCATGAGACCTTTGTATAGAAGGAAACAACTTGTACAGAGGCATAACTCAAAGCCAACAAGAATCAGCAAACACAATGAAATGTCCACATTCGAAAATCTATTATCATGAACACCCTACTATTCATTATGTTGAGTTCAAATTTCTCAAACGTCGCACAGTCATAAACTCATAATGTAAAATTCATAACATGCATCCAACTATATGAAACCTAGGTTGACGACTATTGGAGCAACTTCATTTTTTCCTCCCTACCCTTCCGAGAGAGGAAAAACATAAAGCTTATAACTCACGTTTATTTCCTCAGCCATTAGCTTGTTATTCGTATTCTGTATCCCTCGCTTCACGGCAATTTTCACAATTAGGCTTTGCTCCCAAAGTTTGAGTATAGCAACTGCCAGCCCTTGATGGTTTCTGTTCCTCCCTGATCAAAGTGAAGAACAAGCGCCAAAAGTCAGTAAATGAACTAAACATCTGAAAATTCAGGAATTCAAGTAAGACAGATAAATTATTACCAAGGGCAAAATGGCAGGGAAGTGATTTAGCAAGTTTCCTCAAATTAGTCATCTCAGCATTAGTAAGTCGAGGCCGCATTCCAGTAGGAAGACACCTAAAAGGCGTCATGTAACCAGGAACTTTAGGTGGAAGCAAATCAGCATCCACAGGAAGCACTCCAGTGCCCCACCACGCCTCATAACGGGGCCCTAATCCATCCAAGAGTTGGTTATATTCAATTTCCTGCTCGGTCAAGGTCTCGGTCTGTTGTGGAAGTCTCACAACTGGTAGTACAGACTTCTCTGAATCTGGCAATGCGGCCTCATCACTTTTGAATGAGGATGAATCAGCAGATGACACATCTGGAATGAATGGCGATTCCCCTTCTTGCCTAGCAGATTCCGGAGATTTCGGACCTTGGTAGTTACCGCCTCGGTAAACAATCATAACACTTCCTGCCCTCCATAAAACTAACCCTCCAGTGCGACGCTGATGATCAATACAAGCAGTTAGCCATAGTTATCAAATTCCTGAATCTAAACTAAGACCTTTTACATAATAGTTAGTCACTACAGTGGTTCACATTATCTAAGGCCATCAAGAACAAAGCTAAAGAAAACTGAGACAAAAACCACCAACCTCGACAATCTCGTGGCCAGTTTTCATGTCATGGGCGAGAAACTCGTGGAACTTGAGCCTAACCAGCTCAGCTTTACGCCATTTATCATGAATCTTCTCCAAAACTTCCTGGGTGATCCCAGCTTTTGGCACATTGATCCTCTCTCTCAAAGTCATTCCCATCTTCCTCAGCCTTCTCAATTCTTCATCCTCAATCGTCAATTCCGCCAAAGTCGGAGCCTTTGGCCTCCTCTTCCTTTCCATCCCTCCATCTTCCTCTCTTCCCTGCATCTCCCTCTCTTTCTCTTCTCTCTCCCACGGCAACGCCATTTCATCGTCACTACCATCATCCTCGTCCAAAATAGTATCAGGCCTAATCCACTCCCGCTTCAAAAGATCCGCCAGCCTCTCCTCCCCATTAACTGGCGGCAACTCGGCGGTCAGAATCCCGGTCTCCTCCCTCCCTTCTTCTCCTTGCTCGTCTTCCGCGCCCAAACCCAAATTTCTCAAGCGAAGTACGATTCTCTCAATTGCAGTATCCCCTTTATCCCTCGCCAAATACCGAGCCTTCTCCTCATAAACAGGCCGACTTACCTCTTTCTTGGGAGTACCCCTAACCGAATTCCCCTTCGGAGGCCACTTGGACAACCAGGTAGAATTTGGGGAATTGGAGTTTCTCGATTTCGGGTTTTGGGTTCTGACGTACTTGTTGGTTCGCAACGAGGAGCAGAAGGGTTTTGGGAAGAAAGAGGAGTGGCCTCTGAGTGGGAGCTCTGATAATTTAGCAGTCGCAAAGCTCATGACTTTGAACGAAATTGGAAAATACCCAGCTATGGCGATTTTAGCATTTGAGATTCTTAACCTGTTTAGAATGCAGGAAAAATGGAAGGAAAGTTGGGATGAACACTGCCAGGCAGAAGTCTTCCGGGAGTGAAGAACGGCTGTGACTGTGTGGCTGTGGCTGTGCGGGAGGAATCTGCTTCAGTTGGCGGAGACGGATAACGTGATTAACGTCTACTACTACAGATATTGTTATTCTTTTTCCCTTTTCCCTTTTCTTTCCTGTTGGAAAAAGTCCATACTCAATCAGCGAACTTTGCTTTGGTTCTCACTCGGTCACCATAGTTTCCAATGTCTTTCAATTAAGCTTCAATTCCACTTCAAGTCTTCAACCTAAATTAATGGTGATATGATATCATTCCCGCCAAAAGCAACAATGTTTAGAGTTCATATATTTAATCACTGTGCTGCTACTGGTTTGATACAAATCAGCTATTTCAATATCTAAAGTTTACTTGTACTGATGGCCTTTTCTCAAATCTTATGATAGCCTGTATAATGGGGGAAACGTAGGGAATGTTATATCGCAGCAGATGATCTTCTTTCCAAGACTGGTGGAGCATTAAGGATTTCTTCACCAAGCTCTTTTATCTTGTTAAGAAGAAGCATTTGCTCGGTCTCGAGCTGTACCATGTACTCTTCTTGGGTCTCTGCTACACTTTCCATCTCACTCAAAGCTAATGAAACAGTATCGAGATTCCCACCTTCAACAGAAGATCGGAGCTTTGACATCATCTGCTTCAACTGATCAACAGCAAACACATGGAATGAGCAAAAGTGCGAACAACGAAGAAACTGTAAGTAATTGCCTCATTTTGTTTACCTGGCCTGTAAGTTTATGGGAGTTACTCAAATAGCCTTCAGAATCTGAGCTAGTTCTCTTTGGTTGTTCAGGGACTCGCCTGGTGACTCGAACGTGTATCTCGCCTCTTTTCACACCTTGCAGAGGTATCCACTTGTCGGATGTTTGGTTTGGGGGCAACCTTTGGTACTCTACAACACAGTCACCTATACTGGATCCAGGTAGCAACGCATTATGGTCTTTGACATGCAATTCCAAGGGACTGCCATCGTCCGGAAACTCTAACATCTGGTTCCATTGTGGAGTGAGAGTTTTGAAGACTACCTTTAGAAAGGGAAAAATTATAGTAGGTGAATATGCTACTGAAGTTGGTGAGTGGGAACGAGAGAAAGGGAACCCATCTTTGTAAATTTTACATCTCGGAAATGAAATTCAAAGCTCCTCAACATATTATGTCAGCTCACCTTTGTTCGCCTCTTCAAGTTTCCATATTGCACCCTAACGTATGGATCACTTGTTCCTCTAAGATCGGCAGCAATAAGATCCCTCCCTTCAATAATTTCAAGTTCAATCCAGCCAATAGGTGAACTTGAAGTCATGCTCTGGGAAAACCACCAGAGAAATTATATCACTTGACTTCAAGAAAGTTAAGAGCTTGAATCCAAAAAACTTAATATATGCACCTTTGATCCATCATCCTCATCAACTTTCACTGCTTCTATCTGAAGCCGCAGTTCTCCTGAGGTTACTTTCTCCAGAGGAATCCATGCATCCCTTATCGAACCCTCAACTAAAGCTTCCAAATTTACCCTTGCACTACCAATGCTTTCATCCCCAAACACTTCTTCGGTATAGCATTTGATCTTAAGGTACTCATCCCCTCCAATCTCTTCAAATTCAAACTTTTGGTTCCAGATAGGATTGGGAAATTGTGAAGTCTTTGTCTTCTGGACTGCCTGAAGAAAGCAAGAAGGTTGCCCGAGGTAAAAATTTCAGAAACCATAGCAATTAAGCCTATTTACATATACAATACAAGGTATTCATATGAGTAACTTGATACCTTTCCATACTGCAACTTGACATATGGGTTAAACTTGCCCGATCTTTCTTTGACAGTTAGATCTTGTCCTTCCACAACAGTTACATTGATCTTCCGTCCTGTTCTTGAAGGAAGAATCGATGATCCATCCACAGATTGTCGAGACCTGCTTTTGTACTTGTTCAGGCTGTGCGTACCGTCCGAGAATTGCCATTCTTTTACCACAAGCTTCACAGCCAACTGCAGAAATGAACAAGTGAAAAGCATCAGATGATAAAATACACGATGAGATAGCTAAAAAAGGTTTGCAGCATATGGACCTCCCCAGAGTTTGGCCCTTCTAATGGAACAATCATTTCAACTTCTCTTCCACTGAACTCGGCATGCTTCGCTATTATACTTGAGTCTGGCCCTATTGCCCAAAAAACTGTTGAATCGTCTGCAACATACTTCATCTGCTCAAAAAGGGCAAAATCGAAGATAAAGAAGAGAGGAAGAATATATAGCTGGTATTAACAGTAGAGACTATGACCCCTAGTAATTAGAGCAGAGAGTTACTTAAGATCGAATAATATGTTTATCAAGATTTTCTAGGAGCGAAATTGATAATGACATATAGTAATTTCATTTCTTGCATATCTGTGGCAGATCCTTAATTTGCTTTTTTCCCCAATTAATGTCATTGACAGAAAGGAAATAGAAGCATGATTAATTATTATATAGAAATAACAATACTTCACAAATGCAACAGCTATGACCTCATGCTGTACCCTGTGAAACACATCAACCATAAGTATGGAATCTACCTTGATCTCACAACTTGATAGGTAGTCATACTTCACACTATCGGGGTTACAGTTGCAAAGATTGAACCGCAAGATTCCAGTTTCTTCATGTAGCACCATGTTGAAAGTTGAATTCCATTTGGGACTTGAGCCTGGTCTTGCATTTGTCTTCCTTGTTAACTGACCAAGCTCGACTTCCACAAAAGTCTGCAAATCATTATCATCAACACCATCTTCTGAACTCTGTTGCTGCTTTCTTGTTGGACTTCCCTTGAAACTAGACTTAGAAAGTTTACTAGCTGAAACAACCGTCACATGTACAATCCCACCAACAACCTTCTTTCTCAAGTCTACAGCCGGTAAAGAGAAACACCGACGTCGAGGCTCAACCATTGTTTTATCTAAGGTGTCAGAGCAAAGTTTGACCTATTTCCAAAGACAAATAGAGACTTAGAGCACGAAGAATAAAGTTGAGGTTCTAGAGGATTATAGAGCAAACCATAATACCAAAACTTTCAGTTATTTGAGAGAGCGTAGATATTAGTATTGTGAGAGACATACCAACCAAGAAGAAACGCCAGGAAGCTCAGTGGCAGGTAGAGATTGGCTTCCACCACTTCCAAAGGCGACTCCTATTCTTACTTCAGGAGTCGACACAAAAGAGTAGAGAACTGCTCTCCCTTCCAAAATTGGCATCAAGAGAAGCTATATAATGAAAACCATAGGGCAAATGGCATAGGCCAAAGTCAATAAATAGAAAAGCACAGAACTGACCAATAAAAGCAAGAAACATACAAAGAGACAGTATTTCCAGCAGAACATAGTACACCCGCAACAAACCAAATATGCTAAAATTCACGTACATCACCCTTGATCTGCAGGCTGTTAATAACAATCCGAGCAGTTCCTAATGGCTTGGCCAACTTAGCCAATAGCATGATGCTCATGTCACAGGTGTCCCAATCAAAACTCATGTGCATCACTCGCTGTCAACATGTCAAAAAATGAAATCCTATCAAGTTATGAAAAACATGTATAATGCAAGCTTTAACAGAAATAGCAAGAGGGAGAAGAGTTTTGTTTAAGAGAGACCTGAAACTCATGCCGCTGGTAGGAATCTAAGCACATTTGTGCTGACTATTGGAAATGAGATATTTAGCTACCAAATTACTCTTTTCTGTTGTTAGAACCTAAAGAAGATAATGACAGGATAATTTACATTGTGCTCAAAAGCTGCTTATCCACAATCTAACATACATATAGCTAATTATCGACTGAAACAGCTAGACACCTTAAGCTAACATAAACAGAGAGGACAAGGAAAGAGAGAGATTCAAAGCCATACCTGGTCACCTGCAGTTGCCCAGCGACTCCCACTAAGGCCCAAGCTAGGTGGGGATGAGCCTAGAGAAAACTCCTGCAGTTCAACCCATTCCTGCATAACAAGAGTAGTGCTTCCTGGTAAGAGAATATTATAACAACAATTTCCATCATAATATTCATATAATTTAACTCTAGCAAATGAGAGATATTCATGTAACTTACTATGAGCTTGGGTTTCCGCTCCTTTAAGAGTCTCTGCTTACAAGAAAGGGTAAAAAAGAAACTACTTAGATTGATCTAATTATGATCATTAAGAGAAAAACACCAAATTCACCAATCACATCTGTTCCAAAATGTGACACTACTGATAAGCAGAAGGGTGCAGAGGAAGCTTAAGAAAACTATGAATAACAGCAACTACTTCATCAGTATACGTGAGCGTGACAAGGGGAAAAATCTAACCTCCACTATGTATGAGAACCTTGTAGAAAGCCGTGGGTTGAAATAATTCGCCCAAATTTCCAGCAACATCTTGTTCAGCCACTCACAGTGTTCTACAGCTGTTGTTGCCTGAATGGAAAATGACACAACATGAATCATTTACCGGCTTGACTACAAGTGAAAATCTCACCTGAAAATACTTTTAACTGGACGAAAGAGTGTGAGCAGAAGTACCGATGTGCTTAATATAACTCGTTTCCACTTTCTGTTCAGATCTTCCACAAGCATTCTTTTCTGATGACTCGAATACTGCAGTGCCAAGCAAAAAATTCTCATCCAACAAATACTCATAAAAAAAAATACTGCAGTGCGAAGCCATAGCAATGACATAAATTTCCTTTTGGAAAAATGAAACAAAAAAATGCCAGTTTGCCACTGATTCATTATAATGAGAACCCACAAATCATAACAAACAGAGCTGAAGCAAAGCTAGAGCATACAATGCTTCTTTCTAAAGCAGTTAATAAACTATGTACTAAAGCCAAAGTCAAGGACAAAAAAAAACAGGACAATTGTACACAAGAAAAAAGCTTTAGCATAAAATTGATCCAAGTCCTTAAAAAAATCCCATTAGATTTGCCAAACTCCCCAATTTTTACCATGACCAATCCAATCATTAGTTCTGTTAGAAACGCGTGAAATAACAGCAATTAAGGAGTATAAGTACAATAAACATGTGATTCAAGCTATACGTAGTGAGATCAAGTTCAAAACTGAGGAACCAAATGCAGAGTTACAACAAGTGAAAAAGGGAAGGACTTTAACCTGAAGAAGAGCCCAAACAGCAACAGCAAGAGGAACCCAATTGGAAAGAGAGAAAACCCATCTCTCAACGCACCAAAGAAACAACAACAAGGGAATCAAAAATGGTAGGATGGGCTTCTTCTCTTCATAAAGAGCATTGAAGACCTCCACAACTTGGTCGATATTCATCCCTGCTACCCTGCGCATCATCCTCTTCGCCATTTTCGAGGGCCGAGATCAAATTCAGTTTACAAATCGCGGGAGAAGAAAAGTTGTCAGCTTTGGTCCGACATCATCAGACCAAGGAAGGAGACGGCCAAGTAACTGAAGCAACTTCACATGGTGAAATTTCCTCCTCGTTCGAGAAGAAGTTGAAAGTTGTGAATTGTGATCCTGGGAAGTTGAGAAGACTTTGTTCTAGGAAAGAGAGCAGCAGCAGGCCACTTCTTCCTTCTTCTGCTATTAATTTTCCATTTCCCCTTTTCTTCTTTTTTCTCCGTCCTGGCCGTTAATTAAAGAGAAATGGGAACTGTGAGATGGGAAAATTGAAGAGACTGGCTAGAGCTAAGCAGAGAGTTGCAGATTCACAACGGTTTTCTTACCTTGGCCCCATATCCATATTCCTTTTTGTTTACGGCTACGGGGATGACGAGAAGCGTTGGCCTCTCTTTTATGAAAAGTCCAAGTCAGCGAGGTGTCAATACCGAAGGCAGGGAATTTAATTTCCTTTTTGTTTCCAGTTTTATATGCTTCTACGGTTTGGATTTCCTTTTGCCATTTAATCCTTTCCTCTTTTCTTTATCTACGACTAGGGGTGGAAATCGGTACGGTATTGGTATCCCAATACTAAATACCGAAATCCTGAATACTGAATTATACCTTAAAATCAATTTCAATTCCTAAATAATTTCGGTATCCCAATCGGTATCTCTGTATCCCAATCAGTATTATCGAATACGTAATTAATTACCTTTGCAATTAATAATTAAATATATAAATTAGATTTTATTGTTTAATTTAGGGCAAAGAGACTAATCAAATAGTCTTGAGTTGCCTAGAGCTAACATCTCAAGTTGTTGTAATTAGTAATTTTTAATTTGACGAATTTGAGGTTCAGAGATGTATAATACTAATGTGAAATAGTGATGTAATTTGGGGTAAGTCGATCTGTTTTGGGATCTATTTATCCTTCTTTGATAGGTTTATTTTTTTCTTCAGTCAAATGATACATTTCTTGTGATACAAAAAAAAAATTTGATCGAAAAAAAGGAAATATGAAAAAAAATCTATATGTGTAAGAAAAAAATGCATTTTCTAAAAATCAAACTAATAAAATAAAATCATATTATTTTATATATATTGATATTAGACAAAATAGTTTCAATTTTATTAGTTGAATTAATATCTATTATATTATTATTAAGATCTATGTATAATTAAATGACACTTTTGGTGGTTGACGGTCGCGTAGCAGTGAATGAGTGAGTCTAGTTGAGAGGATAAAATACACACTAGCTTATATTTCGGTATTGATCGGTATTTCGGTATATACTAATCCTAATCCCGTAATCCCTAATACCGAATAAAAATTGAAATTCAATCCCAATCCCACAAAATATTACGTGTATTCGGTAATACCAAATATAGACAAATTCGATACAGTATTCGGTATATCTAAAATACTGGTACCAAACTTCCAAACCTAACTACGACTATATGGTTATGAACTACAGATATTGCTTGTATCTCTTCCAGATTTATGCATAACTAATGCAGATTAATGTAAAAAATTTCATTTATATATTACTAATACTAAGCAAATTTTATACCTCCCCGTTTATATGAGTTCACTCATACTAAAAAAAGTGTGAAATCTTTATTCAAAAAAAAAAGTGTGAACTCCTATAAAAAAAAAAGTGTGAACTCGAATACTACATTTATACTAGTATTTAAAAAGGGAATGATTATTAATACTTAACTGTAGTTTAAAAGTATTAGTTTCTTACCTTGGCTATATAAAATGTCTTACCTACGAAATCGTTCATACTCCACATTGTTGTTCCTTGTCCACATTTGAATCATTGAACGCTCTTTTCTTGTCATACTTTTGATCTTTTTATTTTCTTCTTGTTGGTAAGAGATACTGGAACCCAAGAACTCTTAGAGTAATATGAATAACAAGAGATATTGAAATATCAATTCAAGACTTGTATCTGTGATCAAGGAAGTCAAGAAAAAGTTAAGTGAGTTGAGGTTGTTTAGAGTAAATTATCAATCATCAAATTTAGTTTTATTGTTAATGTGTGTCAGAGTATTGAATTGATATTTAAATATCTATTGTTAATGAAATCTTAACAATAACATCAAGTATCAATTAAATACAGAGATTGCTCTTTGCCCAAAAGTTGTTGTTTTTAGGCTTGTTAAACGGTTATTCGGTGTAACCGTGATAAATGAACTGGTAACTAGGGATTACCAGTTACACTGATAGCTGATTACATAGTAAATGGATGGTTCTCATCAGCCATATTTAACTAATTAGTAACTGACGATTAAACAGTTAACCAACGGTTACCTACTAACTGATTGCGAACAACCTCAAAGTTATGACTGAAAATATAGGCTTCAATGAGTCTCCGGCATAAGTACAAAATAACGGGATGTATGTTTGAAGGTTGTACAATCCCTTGTATCCTAGTTGTACTAGTGGCTTAAGTTCAAATGAGAATGATTATATGGAATGGCTCTAGAAGGAGCACATTAGAAATAAGGACTTGCTTATAGATAGTAGCTTGACAACAATGAGTTGAGTAGTTATTGTTGGTTCTCTTATTCTTCTATGTTTCTTTAATCAAATTTGATGGTATGATGGTATTTGTGTACTTGTGTTGATTGAGTTCATAATAGATTGATATCTATGTTAAATTATTTTTTATCCAATGACATAAACTTTATAAAAAAAACTCATACGTATGTAGAAAGAATATACAAAAATGCACATTGAATATAGGAGGAGCTCTTTGTTGGTTAGGTATCGATCGATTATTTTGGTCTAACCTTATCGAATCACTTGTTTAATGGATATTCGGTTAAATTATAAAATAACCGGTCACCACTATACGATTATGCTTAACCAACTAATATAAACGGTGTGATTAACGACAAACACAAATTGCTTAACGATTAAGGTTTATAACCTAACCGACTAACAATCCTACTTTTAAGTGTGTCACGATGTTTTGCTTAATTTAAGTATCCTAAACGAGACTTTTCAACACATCAATTGACCTATTAGCTCAACTGGTTAGAGCGTCGTGCTAATAATGCAAAGGTCATAGGTTTGAGACCTGTGTGAGCCTTTTTTTTTTTGTTGTTGTTAATTTTAGACTAAATACAATATATTAGTTAAAACTATTAAACAACGGGGAATTATAGCCACAACTATCGAAATACAAATTATTAGCCATTTCTTTAATAATCTTAACGAAAACATCGTGAATGCTGATTGGACAAATGATTTTTAGTGATGTGACAATTTTTCCGTCAAATGATTTTTAGTTATGTGGCCGATGACATAGAAGTCTCCGTAAAAAATTTGATAACAGTATGAGGCTGTTAGCCATATCTTGACCACTTCTCACCCGAGGGTTGCCCCAGACTTTTTGTAAAGGGCCCCAGACCACAATAATAGTTATAGCTAATAATTTGTATTTCGATAGTTGTGGCTATAATTCTCCGTTGCTTAATAGTTCTGGCTAATATATTGTATATACCTTTAATTTTAGGGTTAATTCCACTAGAAAGTCCAAAGTATGCAAAAAGTATCATTTGTGTCCTAAACAATTCATTATGACAAATATGGCCCGAACTTTGAGTATTGTGTGACATTTGTGTCCCGACACTTTAGTTGATCGTTAGAAATAACGGTTGACCAGACGATGGTCAAGAAAATGTTAACTTTTGCTGACGTGGCAAAAAATGTGACGGATGGCACGTAATTAACACATCATATTATAATTTCTTAATTCAAAATTACATTGATTTAAAAAAAAATATAATTACGGGGAAAAACCAATTCCACGTGTCCGACTCGCCGCTCTACTCCGACTTCCACCCTACTCTGCTTCTTCCTCTCCTCCGACGGAAGCGTCCAAGCACACTGCCGGCGAGCCGCTTTGAAGCTTGAACGACACCATCACTCCTTCCTTTCTTCTCCTACGGCTGACACGAACATAGCAAGCTGAAGGGTTTTTGAGGATTTGGTGGTGGCGCCATCGATATGAGGAGGACATACTTGTTTCCCAAACCGCTCATATCTACACGACTCCACCCGATTCCAACTCCAATTCCCCCAATTCCAGTTTCCGCCATCACCAACTGAACAATTTAACCAAATCTCTTCCAACAATAGAGATTTTCCCTCCAACTTTTCTCGCTTAGAATCCATTGGGAACTCAATACTGAATTATTGGTGAATTGATGGCGGAGGTTGAGAACTCCTCTCAAATGATAGTTTTCAGCGAAGCAAACATCGCGTGCTCGTTCGGAATCTCCCCGGAATGCCAGGTCGGAACTGGAACCCGAAAATTGAAAAATCTCCAATCAAATCACTTCAATCTCTCTCGATGCGGACCACTTTTCTTCCCTGCGATTTCAGATCTAGAAGCGGAAGCAATGACGCTATCGCTGAAGGCGTTGATGGCAGCGAACCGATTCATGTGCGAGATTTGCAACAAAGGGTTTCAGCCAGACCAGAACCTGCAGCTCCACCGCCGCGCCGAGGCCACAACCTGGTCTTCTTCTCATCTTTGAGGACCAAAAATTTCAAATTTCGAGGTCCCAGAGCGACGTCGCCATTGCCACCACCATCGGACCAACAACAGAGCACCACCTCGACCATCGTTTCGTCCCCGTCCTCCATTGTGCCAAAGCCTTAGCTGTCCTTCTCTTCTTTTGTGAAGCCGCCATTCTCGTCTCCTGGGGACTATCATCGATTTAGTACCGACCCTCGCCGCCCCGCTGATCAGGAGCATGAGGGACATGAACTGAATATCTTTGGCAAGGATGGAGGAGAAGAGTCGGAGGCGGTGCACGGCGAAGCTCGAGGAACGAGATCTGGTGCACTCAAATCTATATTTAATTTTAAGTTGGTAAAGTAAAAAGAATAAATTTATTATGATTATTTTATTTTTTATTTAATCGAATTAGAAAATAATCCAACTCAGCTGACACATTAGCGGTCAACTCGTTGACAGTTGACCACTAACAGTCACCACTAACAGAAAAATAGTTTAGGCCAGATTTGATATATTGAATAGTTTAGCATAGCACATAAATGACACTTTTTAAATAATTTGAATTTTATAGTGGAATTAGCCCTTAATTTATTTTTAAGTTTCAGATGAATCATTATTCATTACATTTACATATATCATTTTGATCAGATTCAAGGTCACAAATTGACATTACCGGCGAAGTCGTAATATTTCTACGTGTGACTGTCTGTTTTCCTCTGCGCTCTCTTTCTTGTCCCCTCCAAATTTCCGATCCGAGGCCACCAGCGGGAAACAAATATTTTTGACATTTTGTTTGTTTGGATATTTTTTAAAAAGCTGGCCATAGCCATC